GGGGGTGGGTCGCGGCGGGGTCTCCGCCTCTCTCCTCCGCACCTTCACCCACGTGGCCCGGGACTCGGCCCAGAGCAGGGGAGGGCGACGGCTGTGGCTCTTGCCTCCCCCCGCAGGGACAAGAGCATCACCTCCTTCGACCTGTACGTGGGTCTCACCGACCTTCGGGCCGCCGGCGCGCACACTCAGTGGTTCGCCGTGAGCCGTGTGATCCTGCACCCCACCTACCAGATGTGGCACCCCGTGGGCGGGGACGTGGCGCTCATTCAGCTGCAGTCGCCCATCGAGTTCTCAGACGCTGTGCGACCCGTGTGCCTGCCACCGCCCACCCTGCACCTCAACGGCAGCGAGGTCTGCTGGGCCACGGGGTGGGGACTTGTGTCCCCGCAGGGTGAGGACGAGCCCGAGGGGGTGAGGGAGGGGCGCGCGTGGTCCTGGGGTGCGGGCGGAGTGGGCAGTAAGGACGCAGCCCTGGAGAGGCTGGGAGTAACTCCGTGACGTGACGGAGACGGGGGTCCTAACGTGGCCTGGCAGCAAGTGGAAACCTCCCCGCTGACCGGAAGTGGGCATGGGTAGAAGGGGGCGCTTGGCAGTGGTAGAGGGGCTCCCCGGTGGGCGGGGCTCCTCCCTGGCCTTCACTAGGGGCGGACCGGGTGGTGAGGCTGTCTCCACTGTCCTTGGGCTGCTCCCACCTTGAGGACGCCAGCAGCTGACCCCGCCTCCTGTCTGCCTGTCCGCCTGGCTCCCTTCTTGCTCAGGCCGTTCCTCGAACCAGCTACAGGAGGCCCAGCTGCCCCTGGTCCCACCTACCCTGTGCAGGATCCTCTATTCGCGCCCGGCCATCCAGCCCGACATGCTGTGTGCTGGGAACCTGGGGAACCTGAACAGCGTGTGCGAGGTGTGTCCCGCTCGCCGTGGGGTGCGGGCAGATGGGCCTGAGCACCTCCACCAGGGAGGAGCCTGGCCCAGCCCCTGGGGCCGGGTGAAGGGCCTGCACTCCACGATCTTAGCAGACCTCTTCCTTTGCAGGGTGACTCTGGGGGCCCACTGGTGTGCGAGTTCAACCGCACCTGGGTGCAGATAGGAATCGTGAGCTGGGGCCGCGGGTGCACCGAGCAGGTGTACCCGGCAGTGTTTGCCCGAGTCTCCTATTTCTCCAGATGGATTCGCTATTACATGGAGAGAACACCCCTTCCTTCCCAGCCAACCCCCGCCCTTTGCCCTGCTCTGGGGGCCACACTCGGTGTGCTTGTGACCACGCTGGCTGGCCTGGCCATCTCCTGAGGGACATCAGCACCCCCACCCCCATGACCACTCAGGGGCAAGGCTGGGCCCAGATGTGGCCTGCAAGGGGCTGGAGGTAGAGGCAGAGGCAGGCAGCCCCTGGAGCTATGTGATATTAAATGTTCATAAAGCAGAGGTACCGTTGTTTCTCCCTCTCTCACAGCAAGGACCAGGTCCATGGCAGGACCAGTCTCCCAGCAGCCCTGCCACAGCCTAGGAACTGAGGGCTCTCTCGAGGGTGGGGGCACCTGGGTGAAGCTGGGGTGCAGCCCAAGCTGAGGCAAGGCCTTTAACCTGTAAATAGAAAAGTTCTGAAAACATCAAATGTCTTCTTCGGGAAAGCAGAAAATGCGAGCTGAGGGAGGGTGGGTTCAAGGGAGGGACTGACAGACCCAACAGAAGCAAATGTGCTAGTACGGAAAAAAAGGGGTACAGGGGCCTGGTACCTGCATTCCTCATCTGGGATGCAGCCGCCTCGGATCAGAAATACCCAGAAGGATCACGTGTGCTGAACATCCAAGAGCTTGTGTCCCCCACCATTCCTCAGCCACACGCTGCTGTGTTCAGCACTGCAACCCCCCTGCAGTGACTGCAGCACCCAGAAAGGCGCTCTGGGTCCCACAGTCACAGGGTACCGGGTCTGCAGACGTGGTGCTTGGGGTCCTGGAACCCATCTGTAATGGGTACTGAGGGACAAGTGCATCAGAGCATTGCTTTAAATAAAGACTAAAAGAAAATAGGTAACTTCATCGAGACAGATAAGAACAAAATTATACAAAACAAGAAATGACCAGGAGGCAGGCCAGGGATTTAGCTCAGTGGTTCTGTTTCCTGCCTTGCAAGCACAAGGTCCCAAGTTCAATACCTGGTACCAAAAAAAAAAAAAAAAATTACCAGGAGGAAGTTCACTGAAACAGAAATGTAAGAAATCATAAGAGACATACAATTCTATGTAAATACATTTCAAAGGAAGTAACGTTATCAAAACTAACCCCACTTGAGAAAGTTTAAACAAGCCAAACTCCATAAATGAAGTGGGGAAGTTTAGCAGAGAACATTTCTTCCCATAGAGAACCACTGTTTTCCTCAGGAACCCTGCTGATCCAACTGCAGACTCTAGCCAGGCCTAGCGCAGGGACAGAAGAGCCTCCCCATCCTTGCAGGCAGGTGTGGGCACAGCGACATCATCTCAGCTAGCACCAGCTCAGACAGCTCAGCTTATGGGCAGAAACCCAATGAAAAGCAGCAGACAGAGTCCATGCTATTTTCTAAAGCAGTGCTTTGTAATGGAGCAGGGTCTGTTCCAGTCATTTGAATACGAGGAACCTATGGATATAGTTCATCATTTCGATTGCTCCGCAAAAGAAAGGAGTATTAATGAAAAAGCTTTTCATGAATCCAAAACCCATTTCCAATTACAAAATAAGACAGAAATCAGTAGTTTGAGGATGGGGGGTGTGGCACCTGTAAATCTCAGCACTCAGAAGGCTGAGGCAGAAGGCTGACTAGGAGTTCGAGGCCAGCTGGGGCTACATGGGTTCAAGGCCAGCCTGGACTACATGGCAAGATCCTGTCTCAAAACAAATAACAGGCCAGGGATTTAGCTCAGTGGTGCTGCCACCTGCCTTCCAAGGGCAAGGTCCCGAGTTCGATTCCCGGTTCAAAAATAAATACATAAATAAATAACAAAACAAAAGTAGCTTTGCCAGGTTGCTGCCTCAACTTTGCACCTCCATCAGATTTAAAACAAATAAGGAATATACTGAATACTGGAAAACCAATAAAATAATGCAGTAACTTTGAACCTAAGTCCTCACCTCTGTGCATTTTTTAGTCATTTTCTTAGTAGTGAATGAGAAAGGAAACATAAAGTTATACTTGCACAAAACAAACATCAGGAATGGAGTGAGTGGTTGAGGGACAAAACTTGTAAGATGTACCTAAAATAGTAAAATGAGCTGGGCATGGTGGCACATTCCTGTAATCCCAGTGCTCTGAAAGGCTGAGGCAGGAAGATCATAAGTCCAAACCAGCTAGGACAGGCTGTGAAATCTGTCTCAAAATTTTATAAAAGGTGTTGGGGTTGTGGAACTGAGCATATAGTTCAGTGAAAATGCCCCGGGTTTAATCCCCAATCCAGAGAGGAAGAGAAAGAGGAAGGAAGGAAGAAAAAAGCATGAGGGGAGACGGAAGGGGAAATGGCAAGAGTTGTTTTCTTATCAGTAATTATTTCCCATGTAAACTGATAAAACTCTCCAGTTGAAAAGCAGAAGTCGGCATAATAAATACAAATACCCCATAAAGCAAACAACCAAAAAAAAAAAAAAATCACCAAATCTGTGATCCATCTCTGCTATCTAAAAGAGATTCCTTTTACATTCAAAGACACAAATAGGTAGAAAATGAAAGAATGGAAAAGATATTCCATGCAAGTAATACAAAGGAGAGCCAAGGGGTTTATACAGAAAAAAGAAAAGGAGGTTCTCAGTAGGAAATCATTGCAGGAGACAAGGAGGACATTATGTAGCGAAGGAAGGGCAACCATGAAGAAGATGTAACACTTACATGAGCACCTAACAACAGAGCCCTGAAATCTATGAAGCAAAATTTGGCAGAAATGAACAGAGAATTTTACAGAAATAGTTGAAGATATCAGTACTCTTCCTTTGATAATGGATAGAAGCCTGACGTCACAAGAAAGGAGAACTACAGATGAAGATCTATGAATACACGAGTGAAAATTTTCAACAAATACTAGTACAAAGAATTCAACAGAGTACTAACCATGACCAAGCAGGGATTATTACAGAAATCCAAGGGTGGTTCAAGGCACAAAACAAACATAGAGGCACATCACATTAATAGGGTGACAGGAAAAACACACAACCATCCAAAACGATGCAAAAAAAGGCATTTGACAAGAGCCAAGGTCTTCTCATGACAAAAGCATAATAAACCAGGAATGGCTGAACATGGGGGGGTGCGTGCCTGTCATCCTGGCACTCTGGGAGGCTGAGGCAGGAGGATTAAAATAACTAATTAATTTAATATGGCTGGAAATGTAGCTCATACAAAGGCCCTGGGTTCAACCCCCAGTACCTGAAAAGAAGGAATGCAAGGGAACATCCTGAACACCACACAGGCACATCTGACATCCCACAGCCCCCAGGACTTTCAGTGTGGGCACAGAGAGCCCCATGCCCTTGCTCCCCACAGCCCTTGGTGAGCTGGGCTGGCACTGAGGCAGGACAAGGACAGGCATTCCTGTGGGAGGAGGAAAGAAGTCGTCTTCCATTCTCAGTCTGTGTGCTTCTATTTTGACAGCATTTGTAAAGAACTCACACACATTCTGTGAGCTCAGGCGCAGCTCCAAAGAGTTAAGGAGCAAAACCACACACAAAAGCTATTTGTACAGTGCACAGTGCTACCTCAGCTCACGAACTTGATTATTCTACCATTCTGGAAAAGATGGCCCTGGTCATATTCATCACAATGCAGAGTTTAAAAGCAAAAACAAATTTTTGCTAAGTGCTTCTGTTTGTGAACCAAGGAACCACTGTGCTTGTGTACAGCACCAGTGAGCACTGGAGGAGAAACGGGCTGCATGCCAGGGCCTCAGGCCCATGTGCATGCTTAGAGCTGGCCAGGGCCACAGGCCACAGTGTGGGGGCCGTAGGGTCAGGGCCAATGGGCCAGGGGACAGGAAGCAGGACCGGAATGGGGCGCAGAGTTCCCAGACCACATCTGCTGGGGCACAGGGCCTAGGCTGTGGGCAGGAACCAGGCTATGTCCATGGACAGGGAAGTGGGGGACCAGTGGGAGTTCACCCAACTCCAGCACAGAGCTCTCCCTGCCCCAGGTCACAGCCTGCCAAGGGCCCCAGGAGGCCCAGGTGTCCCAGGACACCAGCCATAGGCATCAGCCAGTTCCATGTGAGGACTAAGACCCTTCCCAGAGAATGCCAGGGTCTGCACACTGAGAGGATGTCCCTAGGTTGCCAGGAAGGGCCCACGGCCAAGGTCACACAGCTGTGGTCCCTGAGCAGTCATCAGGCACAGCACAGAAGCCACATCCTCAGAGGGGAGTCCAGGAGGGGGCTTCAGAGGGAGCTCAGGGTCTGGGCCCCGCAGACCCCACATAAGCACAGGCCAACGCACGCAGCTTTCCCTGCACTGTAGCCAGGACACCAGCTGATGGCCCCCTCCCTCCTGGCCTGACCCCCACTGTACTCCGCCCCTCACCTGAGGGTCCTCTTGGGACCACTCTCATGCACGCTGCATGCCTGGTGCGCAGGGACGACGACTGGGCCATGTGCCCCTCATGGACACTACGTACACCCACCTATAAGCGCTGCCCCACCCCGCGGATGGCTCCAGTTGTGCCACCCATCCATACCCCCTGCGCCCATCACTAGGCTCACATGGCCCTGCCCGGGCCCCATCCACTTCCTGCTCAGGCCCGTGACCAGGAGGGCCAGGGGCCCTCATTGCCCCCACGGGAGGCCCATCCACAGCAGGAAGGCCCTGGCCGCCCTCTGGGGAAGAAACCGCTGTGGCCTGAGTCTGCCAGGGCAGCGCATAGCTCTGGACACCCAGATGAGGATGGCGAAGACAGGGTGGTGGTATGAGGGGTGGACATGCCTGGCCCTCTGCAGTGTCCAGGACGGAGGTCACAACCAGGATGTGGGGTCCCAGGCTCATGAGGTCACGGTGGGGATTAGGATGGGGCCATCACCCCTGTCCATGGACCAAAGGAGAGCAGGACATGCCCAGCCATTGGGGTGGGGTCTGTGCTGAGCTTCAGAGGAAACTGGAGTCCCCTGTCCCTCCAGAGCACAGCAAGGCCAGCCCTTGAGCCACAGGGTTCCCTCCCCACCGGGCCCCCACTTCTGCGGGGATGCAGCCCTGGGGCACAGAGGAAGGGGATGGGGCTTCAGGGCTGGGCACCCCCACTCAGCCCTGCCAGGGGTCTTGAGATGCCCAGGAGCCCTCCTCCCCTCCCCTCCCCA